ACAGAACTCTGGTTTCTGTAAGAGGGCGCTTCCAGGGTTTCCATGGCTGCTGCATAGGCGACAGAGTTTCCGCTTCGTTCTCTGGTCGTATTGCCGCTTTATAGCTGAGGCTTTAGGGCAGACGTCACAACGGTGGCGGCATTGACGGTAGAAGCGGAGTGCCCGGGACGAGCGATGAAGGAGGCGTTGTACAGTGTCGCAAATTGGGGGAGCTCTGAGGTGGGCCTATACAATACGGCTCCCTAAAGCAACCGATCGCTTTGCAACGATTGAAGCACGACGACATGCCCCATCATCTTGTGCAAGAATGGGTGGCGCGAAAGGAGGTCGGGATTGCAAAACAGAGGTCATAAAAGTGGACATTTGACCATAAAGCGTTGGCATTCGGAAAGTTTAGAATATAAAAAAGAGGAATAGAGATTGCCTATGATAAGTGGGGGATTGTTGGATACATGCGGAAAATCACGGTAAGTACGCCCCGATCATCCTCCGCTGATTTGTAGTCGTTCAATTGAGGTTTGAGGTCCAATCATAGATGGTATGATTCGCGAGGTGGTTGTCGATTCTAATGCCAATATCGACGGTAGAATGCGTGTTCCGAGGTGGTCCGAATCAGTTTAGCAACGTCAGTTGAACTAACGGGCGCTTGAACTCAGATAGGCGCCCGGGAGAGGGTTAAGGTTGTTTGCTGGTCAAGGTATTAGCCTTGGGTGCAAAGCGTGTATATCTTTGAGTCGGGAATTCTATGTTTGTGTCCCCGAGGACTCGGATTTCGATTCAAGCGACTCATACTTCAAGCAAACGTTGCCAATATATCGAAATTGGTTCGACTATGACCGATTTAAAGCGACCATTGGATCATGGATCGATCGTGTAGGATGATTGTGCCAGGCCGAAATTCGGGTGGTGGATCTCAACCACAAGTTGGAGAATTTGGTACAAATCGGGTTCTAATACGAGTGAAACCCATTTTGATGGACGAAAAGATCTTGCTATGACTCTGAACAAGATAACGTTGTGTGCACACTCAACTCAAGTATTCTAGTAGTGGTTACACACTTGAAAGGCTGTCCAAGCGCTTGTTTTCAACAGCCAGATTGAGCTTCAGCGGCGTGAACAATGAATTTTACGATGAGGGTGGGAACCTTTAATCATTCACTAGATGAGCATCAATAAGTTGGTGCACATTGGGAAGACAAGATCCTAAAGGAAGTTGGGGATCACGGAGAAGCACATGGCGCATTGGAAGCCAACAGTGCGAGCCGCAGCGAAAGGCGTTGATTGATGAGCGGAGAGCATAAATTTGAACAATATCAAGAGGGTGTTGTTGCCGGACAACATGGGCGCGGTAAATATTATAGGCGCGTGCAGCATCGAAATGATATTGAAGCCGAAAAGGGGTGGATAACATGCAACCACATCCAAAATGGAGTGGTACGTTGAAATGTTTGGGTGCAATCATGCCCGCGTGCTGAGCGTTGAAAGTTGCTATCGATTGACGGCCATGCCTTCGAGATTAGCTTCCAATAGTTTCGATCAACCCAATTTTGAATGGTAGGGGTCCCCTTATCTACTATCAACCGCGGAGCCGAGATGCAGTTAAATTGAACTCTTTTCGATCGTTGGGTTGCGAGCTAGTCAACTTTGAGTAGTGCCGTACTTCGACCCTGAATACGGAAGTACGGTTCTACCGCTCTCTAATATATGTTCACTCACAAGTTGTTCGAGTGAAATGTAGCCGGTACAATGTGAGTAGTAAAGTTACCTAGCGGCGAGCACAAAGAACTCCATCAGAGTAAGTGACCAATTGGTGGGGTGAGACGTGGGGGCAAAAGCAAAGCCGGCCAAGACTAAGTAGAGTACATCTACCTGCGGGATCGAACTAACTTGGACTATTTTTCGGCGATGAATCATCATGTATATGAGAGAACTTGGTGGGTAATGGACTAAGGGCGCTTCTAATAAAGGCGCTTGCATATTGTCGCAAGTATTTTATTCTTGCGTTCGTTTAGCCTTCAGTAACCCGATTCTGATTAGATGGTTGTAAAACTTCAACATTTCACACGGTGTTACTCTCGACAATGTTTGGTGGAAATTTGCCATTGGCAAAACCCTGCAAAAAAACAAACTAAAGAAAAGATGGCAGCGTGAACCACCCGCAACATAGGTGTACTTTACTTCAAGCTCTTTTCATTCTCCAGCTTGACCCCTTGCCAATTAAGCGCAGAGTAGTTGAGCCGATCCTTCACCCCTATCTGTAGATTCTATTGTGGAAGGTTTCAATGTTGGATTTCGAAGCCCTCGCTTCTTTCTCAAGCCAGACATTGGTCGAGTCTATAATTAAGTCGGAGAGAAGCAAGCTTGAGGATGAAAAGTACATTGCCGCTTTGGTTGTATGACTATACACTGGTAAACTCATGTATATAAGGGAAGAGAAAGAAATGGGACCAAATAACCAGTGACGGGTTGAAGGCTTTTCGGTACCAGAGACTTCAGTCTGCAACATATCTGAGCTTGTAAATTCGTCGAAACAACTGTATTAGGCGTCAACATTAGCTAGCTAAAGACACGTCTGAGCACCGAAGTAAACCACCAAACACTCAGCCGTTGTGGCGGATCAGACGGACTTAGACAGAATCTACTAATGTTATTCAAGAAGAAAGTAGCAAGTTTTTCAGAAGTCGTTCCGATGTTTCAAAAAATGCACTATGTAACACCCAACACGTCCATGTCGATCTCACAACATTCCGTTCTTGCTAGCAAAATCGATAGCTTCGGGGATAGGCATGCTCGATAGGATTGAAGCGGATCATTCGGATCCTTTAATTCTAGAGGATCTAGAGGATTCCCGGAACATGAAGAGTCAACGACTCCATCAGATATGATTCCTCTTTACGCGTCACTTTGCCCCTTTCACCAAAACTCCACAAAGTTCTTTGTGTGTTGGCCAACAATTTAGTTGACAATCTCGTCCACAATACCTACAATGATCGAAGTATTTTTCAAGTCAGTCTTTTGCATGCGATGCTTGGAACTCGAGAGCCAAGAACTCATGCAGGCGTGATTGACGAACCAAATTAGTTGGCCATCACAAAGCAAGGAATCGTGGGCAACTTCTTGGGACACGTTTCGGGCCTCTTTCGCTGCGGCTCACCAATCGCTTTTGCAACTGGAGCACCGTTGCGCCGCATCCGATCCACAACTCGCACACTTGGGTGCTTCGAGCATTTCCTGGACACAGCCAACGTGCAAACCACCTTGGATGAGCCAGTCTTGAGGTCGAGTAGGATGAGTAGGCTGGTTTTTTGCAAATGGAAAAGCCGTTCGGGTAGTTGAGATACGCGAGATACTGTGTGCCCGACCAAGACGAGGTTCTGAAGTACGGTCCCGACGCGACCGTAAGTACAACCATGTCAAGCATGCCGTGCACAAGGCCGTCGAGCAAACACAGCGTCGCGCTTTTGCGGTGGCCGAGTGTCCGAAGGGCTCACCTCAAATTCGAACATGGCAAGCATGTCAGCCATCCGTGACTGCGTGTCGGCCCGCGTCTCCGGTGTGTCTCGGAAGACGGTGCCAAGCTGGGCGCGGCCAAGAATAGCTGCACCGCACTCACAAGAAAAGATACATCGCCCGCGGTCTTTGCTTGTCCGAGGCAGGGGTGCACCGCCCAGCACAAGAAGCAACAATGAAACATTTGCCAGCCAAGAAAATGCTCGCGGCCCTCTCGGGCTCTTTGTGAGGCTTGGCACTCACCCCAGTCGGTGCGACGCAGTAGCCGCTCGCGCATCTCCGGCACCTGCACCATCCCCAAGCCCGTCGGCGACTTAGCTCAGCGAGGCCTTCTGCTTGGTCACCCACAAAGAGTCTCCCCCGCAACGCTGCTCTTTTCTCGCTATGCAAATGCAAATGCAATGCAAATTTGCACCCGGCAAGGTCTCCGCCTCCGACACACCCGTTGCCAAGGGTTACAAAGCTTCCTCGGAGCCACCCCCGCTCCCCCTCCCCGTGCATGCTGGAGGCCCTCACCTGCTCCAGGATCAGCCGGCTGGCGCGCATGTCGTCCGTGGCGGGCGTCTGCATCAGAGTGAGCTCCTCCAGCACCTGCGTCCGCCCAGCCCGGGCCCCCGTCAGCACGGGCGTCGCACCAGTGCTCGCGCGAACCAGAAACCAGGCGTCCCTAGGGCTTCAGCTCAACAGCCACGCAAACGACGAAGAAAGCAAGAAGCCA